CACCTGTTGCACTACAGTAGATTACCCTGGCTTTAGGAAGTTTGCTCTGAAGTGCCAAGACAGCTAATCCAGTTTTGGTTGGCTTTGAGGAGCCAGTTGGTACCAAGTTTTTGGCCTTGTGGCACTCATCTAACACTATCTAACACAGGACTTAAGGAATTCAGCAATCTATGAGACAAGAGCCCCTTTGTTTAAAAATTTTTAAAAAGTGAGAAAACTAGGATTTATTTAATCACTTTCACCAGAGTGTGGTGAGGGTCGCACAACAGAGCGAGGCTCCAAATTAAGTGCGCCCAATATCTCGCCTATCCCACCCCGGGGGAGGACATCCATCACACAGTAATCTCGTGTGTGGGAGATTAATGTCTCCTACCCCAACCCTGCAGGAGACGGGACCTCCATTTATTCGTCCCTATCCGAGAAGACTAGAATATCTAACCATTTCTTGATGTTATAGAAAGGTAGCAAATTCTTTTAAATTATTTTAAGACCCTGAGTGTTGGTCCGGCAGGGGCTTGAACCCTCGACCTACCGCACAGCAGTCCAGCGCTCTATCCATTGAGCTAACCGGGAGGCGGTTATACTGCAATGGACCTCTAAGGCCTTGGCAACAAAGTACTTGCTGTACCCTCTCCATACAGAAAATACTGATGGCTTCTATTCTCCTTAAAGTAAGAGCATCCTTGTTTATCAAGGGATATAGAGCAGAACTCTGCACTGATAAATGGAAGGACCTCAAACATGAAAACTTCAATGGAATGGCACATTTTGTTCTCAAAAAAGAAGCACCTTTCTTCCAGTAACTAAGTGCCAAACAGCTCGCAGGAATTCTCTCTTTTGTCATTTAATGATGAAAATGGCTTGTTGTAAAGGATACCACTCCTTCAAAGTCCGAGCCACACCACTGCAGTAGCTGGCTCATTCTTGTATTGTACTTGCCAGAGCCTTGACTCTCTCCAATCAGGGATGAGTAGGTAGAGAATATTACACCCTTTTTAACGCTGCCATTCACTTTGGATGAAATTTTGTTATCATATTTGAACTGCAATAATAATAGATAACCTTAAATCAAAGATGACCATGATGCCTTAATATAGCACATTCTCCATATCAATATGCTGTAAAGTGCTTTAAAACACTCTACGAGGAGACTTTGGGCCATTGAGACAGTGTACAATTCCTGAAGAGAAATTTTACAGGTTCCTCCAATTTTGAACTATTTGGAAACAAGGCCAGACCACAATACAGGGGTTATTTAATGTCCCCTGCAAACTAGCACAGAGTAAACACAGGAGAGAGGGCCGACGGTTTATGGTCTTTATCTGAGAGTACTAGGGCATCCAACCATTTGCAGATGTCATAGAAAAGGCAGCACATTATCATCAATTATTTGAAGACCCTGAGTAATGTTTCATCCACTTTGGAACTCTAACCCTTGACCTCCCACACAGCAGTCTAGCACTCTGCAGCCTCAGCTAAACACTTGGTGGCACATCTTACAATTTAAATTTGGGAAACAGTACAAGGACATTGGGTACATAGAGCAATACATAATAGGGTCGAGCTGATTGTTAGAAACCAGAATTTTCAGGTGAGTCAAGAGCTGGCAACTAACTTAGTGCCATGACACTACACAACATGTAACACTACCTTTTTAAGAGGGCGCACATGGATGTGACATCCAAGGTCTTTCAGATCCCTATAAAAGTTAAAGCCAAACCCAGTTCTTTAAAAAAAGATATTCTTAGAATAAATTTTATTGTAAGTTATAGTCCTACAAAAATAGTCGAAGATGAGTGACCTCCTTTATCAGTGAGTCTTTCATGACTGCACTTAATAAATCACTTGCTTTCTGTTTATAACCATCTATAAAATCTCAATCATAAACCATTGGCTCCTATAACTTGATAAGAAATTTTATAAGGAAAGAAATCATATATCTGGTCTTATATCTAGTGAGGGCTTAAATCCAAAACTAAAAAAGATGCCATGCCAGATGTCTTTCCTTCAGAATTACTGCAGTTTCTTCAGTATATGAATATCATAGACAAATTTATTGTTAAAATTAATTACAAATTAGAGCAGTCATTTCACCACAAATCTCACCTGTCAGCATCATATCTTAAATCATTTGATACACTTAACCTGTTGATTAGAGACAGATTAGAGACCTAAATACACAAACTTTTTCATTCAAATACTATAGTTCCAGAACATGGAAATTCAAGGAAATTCTGAAAAATACATAACTTGTTATGTTTTTTAATACATTTTATGAATGCTGATGTTTGCCCAGTTGTTACTATCAGATGAAATTGTACCCAACTGCTAATGTGTTGGTATCCTGATTTTGGCTACTATGTGTTTTTGGAAAACACACTCTATGGTCTCAAGATTTGTTGGTTACTGGCTGCCAAAATAAAGCAAGTTTGCATGTGCCAACTGTTTCAATTTTAGAAAAGCTCACCTCTCAACTCTACTTGCCTTAGAAGGAATGACAATCTGCATGTGAAAGGCAGATGTCCATTCCAATACAAAACTATATCTACAGCCACAGCAGTCCAATGGACACCTTATCCTCTGAGTAATTTTTAAATAATAATTATAACAATAAAACACTAAGAAATAGGGATTAAAATTAAATTCAGTCCTTACCAAATGGCCCTTTTCCTTCCAAGCAAATAGTTTTCATAAATGACTCCTATAATTCAACAAAGTGTATTAACAAAAAATTCTTGACAGTCAGCAAACAAAGTTATCCATTAAAGAAGAGTTACATAGAACAGAAAAAGTTAAATGTTTGCTAACTCACTTTAATAAAAGGCAAAAAAAAGTAGTACCTGCTACTGTTCTTCCCTTTCCAACGCCTGCACCATCACCTGAAAAGTTAATTTATTTGATAAAATTAGAAGGAAAGAGTTTGAATATCAAAGAGATTTTGTTGGGAAATACACCAATTTAATGACCTGTGTCTGGTGGTCGTGCACTTGTAGTAAGCTGTAACACATTGACTCCTAAGTGTGTATGGTCTAACACTTGAAAATGAAATAATTATTTTTCCAACACTTTAATTATAATGCTTTACTATTTTATTCGCCCAAAGTTATCTTCGGATGTCTCAGTATAACCTGTGAGAAGTCACAAGAACCTTCAAAAATAACTTTTTTTGATGACTTTTTTTTTTTCCTCTGGTGATCCATTTCATAATCTTAGGCTGCCAAATGATGACTTTGAAAATAGTTGAGCAAGGAGTCCTGTTATTCCCCCCCCTTTTCTCATCTTTTGTTTACACCACACTTCGTTTTCCAGAACTCTGAATTGTCTTGCTAATTCAAAATTCACATCATAATTGTATTTAATTTTATTAGTGTTTTTATCAAAAGCACAGAACAACAAATTTGTTACCTATCAGAAAGCCAGCTCTCGTCCCATCTGCCAAGAATGTCTCGTGTTGTTGGCAAGCATACACAACAGCTTCCAGTTGTAGAGCAGATAAGTAACAGTTGTCTATAACTTCTTTGGGAAGCATTAGGCGATACCAAATATCAGGGGGTGTCACACTTGACAAAGAACTGAGGAGCACAAGGAAATAAATAATTAACTGGTATAACACATGGATAAAGGGGGTAACTTTCTAAAGAAACTGTGAAACTGCATCAGTAGAAGTAACAAGGGAATTTTGGTTTTATTAACTGAGTTGATAATGTAAATTAGCCTCCGTAAGGAATTTCAAAGCATTAGCCCTTCATCATTTGCTCTGACAAAGCTGAAAAAAACTCTTGGAGATGTGATTTCCAGCATTCTGGGATATATTTGAAAAACATTTTCAGCCAAGAAATGATGTTCGAATCAGTGTTGGGTACAAAAGAAGCAGGTGCAAAATGGTCTCACTGCTTCCTTCTATTGACAACTCTGGATGGAACACATTAAATTCTGTTTCAAAAAAATGCAAATTTTATTTAGCTAATTATCATGAAACTGAATACAGTATATGGCCAAAAGAGTCAACTTTGACCAACTACTGATAGAGGGAAACTGGGGAGAGTAGATACACTGTAATACGTCCTGGTATACGTTTAAGTTTAAGTTTAGTTTAAGTTTAATTAATTCGCCACAGGAATGGCAGGAGAAAGGAACAGAACTTTCGTTCCAATTGACACCTAACCCCTTTTTCACCCATCCCACCCCGGGGAGGACATCTATCCCACAGTAATCTTGTGTGTGGGAAATTAACGTCTCCTACCCCAACCCTGCAGGAGATGAGACCTCCATTTATCGTCCCTATG